ATCAATCATGATGATGATGATAACAATAATGGTATTAATAATAATAATAACAATAATAATAATAATTGCATTTATATGGCATGTAATCACGCTCAACAGTATACCCTATGCTCAACTCAGAAACCACCTGAGCTTCCTGGGAAGTATACATACAGTGCAAGCTGTGGATTACATATGCTGAAACACTGTCAAACTGACATGGTCCTTTGCTATCTTAAGCCAGATACCCATTTCCACCTGGATGAGGTTAGGAAAATTTGTGTGAAGTGCCTTTCCCAGGACTCGTCAGGCCCCTGACAGAATTTGAACCCACGACCTTATGGTTGAGAGTCTGAGAGCCTAACCACTAGACCACCGACGTCACTAGAAGTCCGAGGTAGTTGAATGAAAGCTTTCCAGTCTGCAGTCCATCTGGTTTTTCAGTAGATAGCCTACATTTCCAATCTGTTCCTTGCCTTTCAGACACTGACATTGCCTTATGCCATTTCTTATTGTACTCATCACTATTTCTACGTTTTGGTGGAATTTTGCCTGGGCTGACAGCCTGAACAAGCCTACTCTTCTCCACCTTTCAACTTCAACCACCAAGTCAGGACTCCCAAGGTTTTGGTCCATTTCTAAGAAATCCCGGTACTGATGAGCCTCTGTGATGGATAAAAGCAGGATAATGAAGATGACTATGAGAAGGAGTTGTTTTAGATCAATTTTTTCAACTAGATTCAGCTTACATCTGCTAGTACTCCAATGAATAGCTACAAATCTATACCACAAATTTGTTCTTTATTTTCTGCGTTAGGTATGACTCATTTTCAGATGTTATTTCAAATTTTAGATAAACGCTTTTGAAAGACTTTGTTGGGGACTAATTTTTAGGATGCATTTTCAGGAAATAAAACCTTCTAATTAAGCAGTGGTCTGTCTTGTATTTGTGTTTTGGTAAGGTCATATGAGCACGCGGGACGCATTAAACATTTTCGATTGGTAGGAAATTTTGAATTTTGCTCGGGTGGCGACTGAAGCCTACTCTTATCGTTTTTAGACCACCAAGGGGTCTTTAACGTGCGCAACTTGCACACGGGACCTCCGAGATTTTTCACCCTTGTCCGAGAAGGCTAGGTGTAGATCTTTCCTTCCAAAAGACCAGGGGTGTGGCTGAAAGACAGCAGTAAGAAGGGGTCAAAGATTAGCAGTAGAAAGGCTGCAGAAAGAATCAGGAGCCCAGAGGAGCGGCACTTATTTATACGGAGAAGACCCGAAAAGACAAAAAAAAAAAAAAAAAGACCTGAGAAGACCCGAAAAGACACTAAATGACCCAAAAAGACATACATGATTTATTTATTCATTGTTTATTTATTTGTCACAAACAGATCGATAATAATATAGGCTAGACAGCCGTGGACAAGACATGACTCGGACCCCACCGTATTGAAGTGTCCTCTGAATGTACCATGTTTTTTTTGGTCGAAAAACAAACATCTGTCCTAGCCTAAATACTCATTTCTTTCATTTGCTTAAAGGGGGGTATTATTATCGATCTGTTTGTGACAAATAAATAAACAATAAATAAATAAACCATGTATGTCTTTTCGAGTCATTTAGTGTCTTCTCGGGTCTTTTCGGCTGTCTTCTCGGGTCTTTTTGGGTCTTCTCGGTAAAAATAGTACCCCAGAGGAGGGGGCAAAGGAGGTGAGGGGGTGGGGCAGAAATTGAAGACGAAAGCAGATGACAGAACATTGTTAGAGAGCAGGAAAGGAGGTGAAAGGAGACAATTTGAGAGAAGAAAATTTTTCGTTCGCTACCGGGATTTGAACCCGAGACCTTTGAATGAGAGGTGAACACCTTAACCTCTAGGCCACGAGAGCCCCCCCCCCGTCTTGTATGCATTTTAAAAATTATTTCTTGAAACAACCCAAAATAATCATTGAAGTCTAGTATCGGTGAGAATAGAAGAAAGTACAGGATTCTTTTTATTTTGGGGGGGGGGGGGGGGTTCTGAGGAAAGAGTCTTATTTTTTATGACGGAGAAACAGAGCACTTTGACCAGTCAATAAAATAAATTAATGGAAGAGTAGAGTGGATGAAATACTGAATGTTGTTATTGTTTTTGTTCATGTTTAGCAAACATCTCGCACAGAATGCCTTCACTTGTTTAATAGATAATGCAGGGCGTTTCTTAAAATGGCTTATAAAACGAAATTCTAACGCTATGTTGTTTAAGGCATACTGAGTATCTCTGCAAATTAGGAAACAGTTGTCCTTAAAGATTATCTATTTGTTATAAGCCTTTTTTTACATACCGGTACAAAGAAAAGAAGGCAATCAGTGGTGATATCTGCTTGTGTATTTTCAAGAATATTTCTCTTGTGTTTCTGCTTTAAAGATTGAAATGTTGTTTGTTTTCCTCTCTGCAGGAGGTCCTGCAGAAAAATGTGGACAGCTGAAGGTGAAGGATGAGATCTTGGAGGTCAATGGAGTAGACTTTACAAACATGAGACACTATGAAGCATGGAACCACCTAAAATTCCTTGATGATGGAGAAGTTCACATCACTGTGCGACGTCATTAGCATATTGATCAAGCATCTGTAGAGATTGTATTTGTTAACAGCTGAATTGTCACACTCTGTACATCCTGTTTATACTAACCATATGTTTTGTGTGAATATTTATTTAAAGAGCTTTTTGTATGTAAACCATATAAACAGGGACTGTTATGATTTGTGTATTTCTTGAATCTGTATGATAATGTCTGTTCTCTTGTATTCTGTGATGTTGAAGAAGCCTACTGTGGGCTGGTGATACCTGAGAAACATATGTAAAGATCACATGGTTTTTGTGTATACTGAAATATTATCTCTGACTATAGGGCTATTTATGGCTGACAGACAGAGCCAGGTGTAGACTCCTGTAGCAAAATAATGAAGTCTTACAGCACCAACAACTCAGTTCAGAGCTAAGAACAATGTCTCTCTTGTTTATTGTCTCATCATTCAGGCATCCTATGGGCCATTTTCACACTGATACATTCAACTTTGATTCATACTCAGTAATTGAACCATTGAAGCATCTTATGCAGAAGTCTAAATGTTCTTGATACCTTCACTACCAAGCCTTCTCTAATAACCCACTAAACAGCCTGAGACTGTCTTAAGGCATACTGTGTATGGAGTCAGGAAGAACCCAACTTGCTAAATGCTCTGCATTAACAAATTTTCCCTCAGCAATGATGTGCTGGACTCAAACCTTAACAATAAGAAGTCCCTTCAAATAAGTATGAAAAATAATAAGTACCACAGATATCTTTGCCAATAGCCATTACCATGCTGCTTCAATTGTTAAGAATTAAAATTTGCACCCCTTCCCTGTCTCAACTTCTTGTCTTTCCAACTGATCTTTCAAGTTTCATTTCTTCCTCTTTAGTTCCATGGCCATGTGTGAGCAGATCAGGAAAAAAAACACTTTCTTACTTAAATATGCATCCGTTTGTCTCTTCTGAGTGGACAATCGTCTCACTTACTGAGTATATTTGGACAACTATTAAACAACCATCACTTAAACATATTTTCTGTGCTTGTCATTGTTTTCGTGGATATTTGTTTTGACCAAGCTATGCAGTAACTAAATTGTATTATGTCATAAACATGAGGAGCACTAGCAGCTCAACTGTCTCTGGCGCTGATGTTTTGTTGTTCTCTCCGTTTCAATGATTTCCTGTGGTAAATATGTCTCCACCTGGAGCCAGGTTCATCAATGGTTGTGATTTTGTATATTTTTGTATAACTTTTTTGCATATACCACGTACATATAAACTGTTCTGTAGATCTTCTTTGTGTTGACACAGTTAATATTTTTTGCTTTCAATCACATTAGCTTTATATTCCATTGTTGTACAGCTTTACGTTTTTTTTAAGTTTGTGAAGGCATGTTTGACAATTTTGTAGTCTGCATGATTTGAGAATGCTGTAGATGATACAAAACTAAAATTTCTTGATTTAATTTAACTGTTCATCTTTATCGGTTGGATTATTCCTTTTCTTCAAATTTCTGTTGCAATTTCAACTATTTCAATTCTTCTAGGCCAGGCAGGCAATACAAGAAATGATTGAGGAAGGGTTTCTTGCCTTTTTGTGGTCTTCAAGCTCTGCTGCTTTCAAATTCAGTTGTTCCATGACCTCAAAAGTTGTCAGAGTGTAATTTTATTCCAACTGAGTTTACATTGTCTGCATTTAATGTTATAGCAGTAATTATATATACCGTATATCATTGTGTATAGGATGCAAATAAGATGCAGCAAGCACCATGACCTGAATTATTATTTGGAGTTTGAATTAATAACCAAACAAATCAGCTGTAGGGATGACAACTTTCTTATCTCATTGATAAGCTGCAGGGCAATTTTGAAGACTGATTCTTTTGGTTAAAAAATGCATCCTATAAGCAATGATATATGGCAGTTGTTTATTATGATTGATGGCCTTCAAACCTCTGAAAATTGATAAGGGACCAAATATGCAGAGATACTTGTGGACATGCATGTGTTTGCCTGTATGTGAGTGTGTTGGGGGAGCAAGTTTCTGTTATAATTTGATTAATTTGCATTTGAACAATTTGAGAACTTGCTAATTTCACATATATAACAGTTCTGGTTGTGATGAGAATTTGCAACGAAACTTTATAAAAATTCATATGTCTCATGAAGGATTTTGTGGTCTATGCAATTTATTCCTTTGTATCAACGAAGTTTACATTTCAGTTATTCAACTGAAAACTGCAGAACACTTTTGTTTTCATTTTCATGTTGGAGGCACCGTCTGTGTTTTAATTAACAGATTTAAAAGCTTTTGTGTAAGTAAGTGAGGTTTCAGTATAGCGATATTTATACTTTTTGCTCTTTGTTAGCATTAATCAGCACTATATTGAGGTACACATTGTAACAGAATGGACTAATCTTTTAAAGTTTGAAAACTTTAGGCACCAATTACTCTCTGTTAAAATTCATTCATATTGTATCTAGTGGGCTGCTTTAACATAAAACAAATTTTGGAAATTAAGGAATGGATTTTGCTCTGCCCTTAGCACAAGGTCCACGAAATAAAAAGTGCACAGGTTACTCCAGCTTGTAAACATTGATAGCAGTGTTCACCACTGGACCGTCACAATTTTTTTGGTGATAATGTAGACCTGATTATTATTTGTGATATAATATCTTTTCAAGGAACCGTACATGTTACATAAAGGTTTTGATTCATATTTATAAATACAGCAAGGCTAAAGTTAATATATTTTCCTTGCAAGTTTATGTGGGCTTATATTTTTCTCTTATGACTTTCATCATTATTATCATTTTTATTATATTATTATTACTATTATTATTATTATTACTATTATTATTATTATTATCATAATTATTATTAGGTTTATACTTTTTATATTACTGAAAGTTTAATTTTGATTCGCACTGTCAACATATTTTTTACTCCCAAAAGGGTTCTGCTAGTATATGGTAAACTCTGTTGATTGTTTCCCTCTCTTGGTTTCAAAATACCTGGAAAGAGGTTTTAATGAAAGGATATCGTACTACATGAAGCAGTAGCAAATGTTTGGCCTAGCAGGGTATCTTAAGATATTTTGTGCATTCGCATGTTTCAGGTAAATTTATCAGTACATCAACAGGTTCCGTCAGTTGATTTAACTTTATTGATTACAATTTATTGGCAAATTCTTATTGATTGTATTATGGTACCTATGAGTTCAAAGCAGAATGATATTTGATTGTGACTGAAATAAATTGTGGCAAAGCACTTTTCATTCTAAATGTAACCTGTTTACAAATTTTATCATATTTTACTGAAACAAAACCATAAATAATAAACAGGAAAGGGGGAGAGAGAGAGAGAGAGAGAAAGAGAGAGAGAGAGATAAAGAGAGAGTATAGAAAAAAGTGAGAGAGAATGATGAGAGAGAATAAAAGGGGGTGGGTTGTTAAAGATGTGCAAAAAAAGGAATGATTGTTTCACTGTCCATGAGTTCTGATGAAGCTTTGCCTATATCTACGGGCTACTGTATCTAACCAATGAACTATACGACAACAATACCATGATAATATATATTCATAACCAGATATCGAAATAAACATCTGGACTGTATGATAATGACTTTTGTCCTTTCATATTGTGTGTCTCCATGCCTGATTATATATTCATCTACCATTCTACTGCCTCTATGTCACCTGATGCTTGTTCCTACAACTATAAAGGTCATTGGTTTTGGTTTTTAGCCTATATTTTGTGAAGAAAAGAGACTGGGCATTGATGTTTTGTTTGTTTCATAGTTATTACTATTAGTCTTGTCCCCCACCCTCCACCCCCACCCCCTCCTGCCTTTTTTCAATGGAACGCTGTTACAACTTTTCAACAATTTGCTTGGCTAACCCGTTTATTATACTTTACTCTCCCTGGATGTAAGGTGTTGCTGCCTGTTAGGTACATACAGCTTTTATTCACTTATTCCATCACTACCATGACTACCAAATAAGCTTTTGCAGCTGGTTGAAGTGAGGTAAATAGATTTTCCCTACATATGCAACTCTACCTGTCCATGCTGGGAATATAGCTTTTAGCCCATCGTCTATTTGAGAGATAGACAGATTTTGTTCATGATGATGATGATGATGGTGGTTGTCAAAATTTTCCCTACTTCAATTGTCTGATTCCTTAACTTTTGAGGAAAGACAGGTGATTGTACTATTGTCTGTAGTGTAATAATAGTTGGGGTTTTCGCTGTTTCACGTTTCATGCAGAAAACATGAGATTAATTCCCTCAGAGAAAAGCTATTTGATCAAGTATCCCAGTTACCCGGCGTGTCATTTCCTATTCAGCTTGGTTAGCCCAGTCAGGAAGGCCTAAAATATCCTACCTCCTGCAAAGACAAATGTTAAGTATGGTGTAGAGAGGGAGTGATTATAGGGTGCCATTGCTAGGCCATTCTTCTGTAGCCTATCCCGGGCTGTTCCTGTATATATTTTGTTTTGCTCTTTCCTTGATCTAAATGACAGTTATGTCTATGTGTTTTTCTTTACCTCAGCCTTCCCAGACAAAGATGAACAAGCACGCTGACGTCCGTTTTTTCCTAGTATCTTTTCCTGATTCTCTGCGCTACACTGTCCTCCCTGTTTACTGCAGATACTGGTTGGACATTCACACTTGTATATGGACGCACACGCATACATACTCACACATGCACGCATACACGCGCGCCCGCGTGCATATACACCATGCACCAAAGACACACACACAAACACTAACGAGCGCACACACACACACACACACGCACTCACACACACACGCACGCACACATTCACGCACTAATGTGCACGTCTGTCTGTCTTGTCTATGTTTGTCTCTACATGGACACACATACTCACACACACACACACACACACACACACACACACACTCAGCTTCGCGCACTGGCCTGCCTACCTTCATACCTACTGGCTAAGTCGAAGCACGTTAATCCCTCGTGGACGCTGAGCGTCGTTTTTCCCTGTGAGTTGCATGCCGTCGCTAAAACCTCAGCCGTTTGTCTACACTGCAGGAATCTCCTTACACCTAATTAATGGACTTTTACTTTTCACTTTTCCTTGTTGACAGTTCGTTCTTCTCAGACTGTTTCTGTACCTTTATTTTTCTTCCTCGTCCGTTTGCTATCCATCCATCTATCTATTTATCTATCTATCAATCTATCTATCTATCTATCTATCTATCTATCTATCTATCTACCTTTCTATCACCTACCTACCCACCTGTCTGTCTGTCTGTCTGATTATTAGGTTTATACTTTTTATATTACTGAAAGTTTAATTTTGATTCGCACTGTCAACATATTTTTTACTCCCAAAAGGGTTCTGCTAGTATATGGTAAACTCTGTCGATTGTTTCCCTCTCTTGGTTTCAAAATACCTGGAAAGAGGTTTTAATGAAAGAATATCGTACTACATGAAGCAGTAGCAAATGTTTGGCCTAGCAGGGTATCTTAAGATATTTTGTGCATTCGCATGTGTCAGGTAAATTTATCAGTACATCAACAGGTTCCGTCAGTTGATTTAACTTTATTGATTACAATTTATTGGCAAATTCTTATTGATTGTATTATGGTAGCTATGAGTTCAAAGCAGAATGATATTTGATTGTGACTGAAATAAATTGTGGCAAAGCACTTTTCATTCTAAATGTAACCTGTTTACAAATTTTATCATATTTTACTGAAACAAAACCATAAATAATAAACAGGAAAGGGGGAGAGAGAGAGAGAGAGAGAAAGAGAGAGAGAGAGATAAAGAGAGAGTATAGAAAAAAGTGAGAGAGAATGATGAGAGAGAATAAAAGGGGGTGGGTTGTTAAAGATGGGCAAAAAAAGGAATGATTGTTTCACTGTCCATGAGTTCTGATGAAGCTTTGCCTATATCTACGGGCTACTGTATCTAACCAATGAACTATACGACAACAATACCATGATAATATATATTCATAACCAGATATCGAAATAAACATCTGGACTGTATGATAATGACTTTTGTCCTTTCATATTGTGTGTCTCCATGCCTGATTATATATTCATCTACCATTCTACTGCCTCTATGTCACCTGATGCTTGTTCCTACAACTATAAAGGTCATTGGTTTTGGTTTTTAGCCTATATTTTGTGAAGAAAAGAGACTGGGCATTGATGTTTTGTTTGTTTCATAGTTATTACTATTAGTCTTGTCCCCCACCCTCCACCCCCCCACCCCCTCCTGCCTTTTTTCAATGGAACGCTGTTACAACTTTTCAACAATTTGCTTGGCTAACCCGTTTATTATACTTTACTCTCCCTGGATGTAAGGTGTTGCTGCCTGTTAGGTACATACAGCTTTTATTCACTTATTCCATCACTACCATGACTACCAAATAAGCTTTTGCAGCTGGTTGAAGTGAGGTAAATAGATTTTCCCTACATATGCAACTCTACCTGTCCATGCTGGGAATATAGCTTTTAGCCCATCGTCTATTTGAGAGATAGACAGATTTTGTTCATGATGATGATGATGATGATGGTGGTTGTCAAAATTTTCCCTACTTCAATTGTCTGATTCCTTAACTTTTGAGGAAAGACAGGTGATTGTACTATTGTCTGTAGTGTAATAATAGTTGGGGTTTTCGCTGTTTCACGTTTCATGCAGAAAACATGAGATTAATTCCCTCAGAGAAAAGCTATTTGATCAAGTATCCCAGTTACCCGGCGTGTCATTTCCTATTCAGCTTGGTTAGCCCAGTCAGGAAGGCCTAAAATATCCTACCTCCTGCAAAGACAAATGTTAAGTATGGTGTAGAGAGGGAGTGATTATAGGGTGCCATTGCTAGGCCATTCTTCTGTAGCCTATCCCGGGCTGTTCCTGTATATATTTTGTTTTGCTCTTTCCTTGATCTAAATGACAGTTATGTCTATGTGTTTTTCTTTACCTCAGCCTTCCCAGACAAAGATGAACAAGCACGCTGACGTCTGTTTTTTCCTAGTATTTTTTCCTGATTCTCTGCGCTACACTGTCCTCCCTGTTTACTGTAGATACTGGTTGGACATTCCCTCTTGTATATGGACGCACACGCATACATACTCACACATGCACGCATACACGGGCGCCCGCGTGCATATACACCATGCACCAAAGACACACACACAAACACTAACGAGCGCACACACACACACACACACACACACGCGCGCGCGCACTCACACACACACGCACGCACACATTCACGCACTAATGTGCACGTCTGTCTGTCTTGTCTATGTTTGTCTCTACATGGACACACATACTCACACACACACACACACACACACACACACACACACACACACACACGCACACGCACTCACACACTCACGCACACATTCACGCACTAATGTTCATCTGTCTGTCTTGTCTCTCTGTTTGTCTCTACATGTACACATACTCATATACACACACACACACACACACACACACACACACACACACACACACACACACACACACTCAGCTTCGCGCACTGGCCTGCCTACCTTCATACCTACTGGCTAAGTCGAAGCACGTTAATCCCTCGTGGACGCTGAGCGTCGTTTTTCCCTGTGAGTTGCATGCCGTCGCTAAAACCTCAGCCGTTTGTCTACACTGCAGGAATCTCCTTACACCTAATTAATGGACTTTTACTTTTCACTTTTCCTTGTTGACAGTTCGTTCTTCTCAGACTGTTTCTGTACCTTTATTTTTCTTCCTCGTCCGTTTGCTATCCATCCATCTATCTATTTATCTATCTATCAATCTATCTATCTATCTATCTATCTATCTATCTATCTATCTACCTTTCTATCACCTACCTACCCACCTGTCTGTCTGTCTGTCTGTCTGTCTGTCTGTCTGTCTGTCTGTCTGTCCGTCCGTCTGTTTTACTTTTAGGGCAAGAAGTAGGAAAGGCAAACACCTCAAGATCGCTCGCCAACTGATCGCACCTGGAGTAGCTGGGTAACAGCATCAGCACCGAGAAGAAGTTGAAGCATTTAAGAGCCCTCCAACCTACCATTGATGTGGTTACAGTGTAAGACAATACAAGGAAATGACAGGGGAGGGTGGGGGACAACAAATTCTGGTGTTTGCAAGTTCTATCCATCAGTTGAGTTTCAGTTATAGGGTCCAACATAGCAATAGTTTTGTGGATAAAAAAAGGTGATATGATAAAAATAGAATAACCCTCCCCGCCACACACACACGCTCTAAGACTCCACCCAGATAATATGGACGGTGGGGGGACAATACTGGATCTGTCGACAGACGCTTGCGAGCAACGCGGCACTACCAGAATGTATAACATATAAATGTACATGAGATATTAATATATTCGGGAACAAACTGATACTATATATTATAGAAGTCCACAAGCTGAGAAAATGGGAGGGGGGGGTGGGGGTAAGAAATGTGACACTCTAAGAAAAATTATAACAAGACATTAACAAAACAAACCAGAATCCCTTTAACTTTTACGGTTTTAATTGCTGTCTAGATATTCACTATTTATGTACCTTCTCTTCGTGGATGTTGCATGCAGAAATTAGCTCATTAAGTGATTAACGAGACACCTGACGGAGGGAGGCGGTGGTACCCCCTGAACAACAAACAAGCAAACTCTGCACGCTGAAACAACAACAAATACAGCGCTGTTGCTTCAGTCGAAAGAAAAGACACCAATGTAAAAAGTCCAGAAGACATGGGGCACGATAAGAGTAGGGATCTGAACCCCCGGGGACTGTCAGTTTGAAGTAGCTGAAAGTAAGGACAAAGGACCAACACGGAAAGCTTAGCTCATAACACTTAGTGCAGAGGATTTAACATGGCGCTGCTGGTGGTAAGCTGGGACCCACTTCCCTAATTGTGTTTGTGTGGGAATTTCTCTTTCTTATTGTCAGCCTGTTTTGTTTGTTTGTTTTCATAAAGAGGAGGACATCCACACAATAATGGTCATTTAGTGCTGGGAAAAAAGTGAGACAGACAGACTATAACAACGAAGGGAAAGTAAAGAGAAGTGGGATCTACTAACGGCGCCCTTCAACCACCCGCTGTCAGTATGTACGCACTTCTGTTTTGTTTTTGTTTTGTTTCGTTTTGTTTTTGTTTCTTTTTGTTTGAGGGTTTTTTTCGTACACTTTAATTTCTGGGCTCTGTCTACAGTTTTGTATGAAAATGTGTTTTATTTTACCATTACCGTATGAGGTACCGGTATTGCCGGGAATTGGGGAAGGGAGAACCTGATTTATTTTATCCTTCTGCTTCTTTTCAGAGTCACTATTGTTGGTGGCTGGATGTTGTCAGAGACAGGTCTTTTAAATCAATAGTCCACTACATCTTTGTTTGGTCTAAAATCGGTTCTATTTTTTCCCAATTACAGATTACCATATGTGTGCCGATGACCCCCCAAACACAAAATATTGACAAACAACGCATCAAAATGTTAATAAATCATAAGATGTCTGCGATCTCCTGGCAAATGTGATAGAGTTGACGCAAAAAAAGCGTTAGAGAATGAGTTGTGTGTGTATGTGTGTGTGTGTGTGTGTGTGTGAGTGTATGTGTATGTGTGTGTGTGTGTGTGTGTGTGTGT